AGTACCCCATACTAAGGTGGGCTATGTGTACCTGGAAAGTCACCCAGACATGATAGGGTGTAGAGTAGGTTTTCAGGGCTGCTGAACCCAAATATAATAACTGATTTTGTGTTCCTGGTCCTGGAATTCTAAGGGTGTCATGTTTGAAACATTCTGTACCCCCACTCACAAGCTAATTGGACAAAACTTGGCACCTGTGCTCAGGTACCATGAACAGGTTTGTTCTTGGGTACAGAACCTTTCTGGGGTAGTTACAGAAGTAACTGAGGATAATGGAGGAGCTTTGTCAGTATAGAAGGACTTTAAAACTCACAGCTGAACATGAATATTTTATGCTAGTCTTATATCAGAAACAATATTCCTCTCCATACAAGGATGGACTGAATGTTTGCATGTGAATCTCTATTATGAATTGTTTCCACCCACACGAATGTTATATAATCATAAAATAAAATAACTAACACAATCCGGTTTGAAATTAAAAAATGGACACAAGATTGAGAAAAGTCAGTTTGTTTCAAATATTTTACTTCCTTTCAAATTCACCATGCATTGATTTGGGGTCAATGACTGTTACAATTAAGAGCAAAATTCTGAAGAATTGTCACTGCAAGCATTGGGGGAGGGAGAAGGTATTTGTTTCATGCCTTCTGTTGACTCTAATGAAGGGATTAAAAACACAAGTAACAAAGAAAGCTATCATCCTGATTATCAAAAAGATAGATAAAAACTACACTACAAGTCAGCACAAAAATTATCTTTAAACAGGACAAGTAGGTCTGCAAGGTACTTGTATAATTCAATTCATATCACTCAGTTCTCTCAGATTTTACACAACAAAAATATTTACTGTTCCACTATCATGACAACCTTCATTTCTGTTTATTAACAAACTTTCACTAACCATTCAAGTCTCTGACAATGGATTGTAGATAATATTAATGTTATCATAGGGTGAACAAAGATAAAGATTTACAATAACAATCACAGACTTAAAATTAAAAATCTCTGGTGAGACTCTTCATAAATTGTAAGATATGAGAAAAATCAGAGCACTGGCAAAACAGTTGATACATGATATACATTTCAAGATTTCCACATGTATAAAATTCAGTCTACTTAGATCAATAAAAAACACCATTACTACACCTATAAAGTGGTACTATGAACCTCACAAGTAACAAACTTTCTTCATGAATCATAATTAAAATATCAATTTTACTTTACCACATCCTAGTAAATAGAATTTGCAACAACATATATTACAAGTATTAATTTCCAAATAATTATTCTTATAGATTATATAATACAGCACCAGCAACTGATTACCTATACTACATAAAAGAATGCCAGAGACTGGTTACCTATACTATATAATAGAACACCAGAGACTAGTTACCTATACTATACAATAGAACACCCGAAACTATTTACCTATATTATATAATAGAACACCAGAGACTAGTTACCTATACTATATAATAAAACCTTACAGACTAGTTATATATACTATACAATAGAACACCAGAGACTAGTTACCTATACCATACAATAGAACACAAAACACTAGTTACCTATACTATATAATAGAACACCAGAAACTGCTTATCTATACTATATAATAGAACACTAGAGACTACTTACCTATACTATACAATAGAACACAACAGACTGATTACCTATACTTTATAATAGAACACTAAAGATTGGTTACCTCTACTATATAATAGAACACCAGAGACTAGTTACCTATACTATACAATGAAACACAAGAGACTGGTTACCTATACTATATAATAAAACACTAGAGATTGGTTACCTATACTATATAATAGAACATTACAGACTAGTTATATATACTATACAATAGCACACAAGAGACTAGTTACCTATATTATATAATAGAACACCAGAGACTAGTTGCCTATACTATATAACTGGTTACCTATACTATATAATAGAACACCACAGACTGGTTACCTATACTATACAATAGAACACCAGAGACTGGTTACCCATACTGTATAATAGAACACCACAGACTACTTACCAATACTTTATAATAGAACACTAGAGACCAGTTACCATTACTATATAACTGGTTACCTGCTATATAATATAACACCAGATCTAGTTACCTATACTGCATAACTGGTTACCTATACTATGTAATAGAACACCAACAACTGGTTACCTATAAGATATAATAGAACGCAAAAGACTGGTTACCTATACTATATAATAGAACTCCAGAGACTGGTTACCTATAATATATAATAGAACAAAAGAGACTGGTTACCTATACTATATAATAGAACACCAGAGAGTAGTTACCTAGACTATATAATAGAACACCAGAGATTAGTTACCTAGACTATATAATAGAACACCAGAGATTAGTTACCTAGACTATACAATACAGCACAAGAGACTGCTTACCTATACTATATAATAGAACACCAGAGACTGTTTACCTATATTATATAATAGAACACAAGTCACTGGTTACCTATACTATACAACAGAACTCCAGAAATTGGTTACCTAGACTATACAATAGAGCACCAGAGAGTGGTTACCTATACTATATAACAGAATACCAAAGACTGGTTACCTATACTATATAAAAGAACACCATAGACTAGTTAACTCTACCACTTGTCACCTGGTACTACATGACAATCCATACACTGGATAAATATACTACTTGTCACCTGCTACTACATGACAATACATAAACTGGTTAACTATACTAGTCATGTAGTAGCAGGTGACAAGTAGTATAGTTAACCAGTCTCTGTGTATTCATGTAGTAGCAGGTGACTAGTAGTATAGTTCACCATTGTATGTATTGTCATGTAGTAGCAGGTGACAAGTAGTATAATTAACCAGGGTATGTATTTTCTTGTAGTAGCAGGTGACAAGTTAACCAGTGTATGTATTTAGTAGCAGGTGACAAGTAGTATAGCATGACAATACATACACTGGTGAACTATACTACTTGTCACCTGCTACTACATGACAATCCATACCCAACTCGTTAACTATATTACTTGTCACCTGCTACTATATGACAATACATACAATGGTGAACTATACTACTAGTCACCTGCTACTACATGAATACACAGAGACTGGTTAACTATACTACTTATCACCTTCTACTACATGAATATACATACACTGGTTAACTATACTACTTGTCCCCTGCTACTAAATAACAATACAGTGAACTATACTACTTGTCACCTGCTACTAAATGACAATACATATACTGGTCAACTATACTATTTGTCACCATTACTACATGGCAATACATACACTGGTTAATTATGCTACTTGTCAACTGCTACTACATGACATTCCATGCACTGGTTAACTATACTACTTGTCACCTTCTACTACATGACAATCCATACACTTGTTAACTATATTACTTGTCACCGGCTACTACATGACAATCCATACACTGGTTAACTATACTACTTGTCACTTGCTACTACACGACAATACATACACTGGTTAACTATACTAGTTGTCACCTGCTACTACATGAATATACAGAGACTGGTTAACTATACTACTTGTCACCTGTTACTACATGACAATACATACACTGGTTAACTATACTACTTGTCACCTGCTACTACATGACAATATATATACACTGGTTAACTATACTACTTGTAACCTGCTGCTACATGAATATACAGAGACTGGTTAACTATACTAGTTGTCACCTTTTACTACATGACAATACAGAGACTGGTTAACTGTACTACTTGTCACCTGCTACTCATGACAATACATAAACTGGTTAACTATACTACTTGTCACCTGCTACTACATGACAATACATAAACTGGTTAACTATACTACTTGTCACCTGCTACTACATGACAATACCGAGACTGGTTAACTATACTACTTGTCACATGCTACTACATGAATATACAGAGACTGGTTAACTATACTACTTGTCATCTTCTACTACATGACAATCCATACACTGGTTAACTATTCTACTTGTGACCTGCTACTACATGACAATACATAACTGGTTAACTATACTACTTGTCACCTGGTACTACATGACAATACAGAGACGGGTTAACTGTATTACTTGTCACCTGCTACTACATGACAATACAGAGACTGGTTAACTGTACTACTTGTCACCTGCTACTACATGAAAGTGCTCTGTTAAATGATTTTTATTCATTTCTGTCAAGACTTTATGAACCTATGTGTTTTTCTAACATCATGACTTATTTCTATAGTATTCACCATTAGTGCATCATATTGTTACGACAGCAGAAGTCACGTGATGCTAGTAACACGTCATGAGAATCTAGAAGGATCATGTCTGTTCGTGGCCACTCTAGTCTTTTCTAAGCACCCTCTATTCTTGTATATAAGTATGCCAGACAAAGCGAGACAATGGATCGGAATGAGAATAATTGCAGATTGAAGAGATAGAGACAAATAATTGAGACAAGTCGTAAGTAAAGTGCATGAATCGTTATGAATTATAGCGTGTGTTTAAGTTGAAGTGACTGTGGAAATTCTGTGTATTGCAAAGTTGTATTGAGAAAGAATGAACTAGTTTTATTTAAGAAAGGACTTGTATCACTGAAGTTCTTCAGGAAGAAACTTTATGGGAAATTAACAAATGAACAGAGACATAACAATATCAAGTAATTTTCTGTTGAAGTACTGACCAAAATAAGTTGTGTTAAATAACTCGTTTTCTTTGTAAATACACACAGTTCAGTAATTAGATATTAATTGCAATAGTGATAACAAGTTTGTTTACATTTTTAGTGTGGCTTGTATGTTTTCTATACCAAAAACTTTATGGGCCTACAAGCATATGGACTTCATCAATAATTTTAGGGTTTAGATCACCGCAACAATGACACAGCTTAAGCTAACTTCCAACTCATCAAATATTTTATTCATAAACTGTGTAAGCTTTCACATAAATAACTAATACTTACTAATGTTTATTTAGCTTTTCAAGCTGCCATCTTCTTGTACATCGAAAACTGGATGAAATAACCTTCTAGGAGTAGAAACTAGAAGGATGAAAAGAAGATTATTTTATTTTCACCTCCACGTGATACCAATTTATTTACCTTACGATGAAATGTTTTATAAATTCTATGTAGTTAAACATCATAAAGTTAAGTTTAACCCTTTGCAGATGGCAACAGAAATATCTGCCTCAATCTACTTCTAATGTTAGTGGATGTATGTGACAGATTTTTAGGTCACATCCAGTTCTTTTCTTTAGTACATGATGTGTTTTCAGTGTGAAACACCACCCAACTACAAACACAAATGCTTTACAATTGATATCCACAAAAATAATGTTTTTTTAGCCAAAACAAAGTGTGTAAAATAAATATTTCACATGTAATTGTTTTAGTGTTTGATATTTTTCTACAAATTGATACTAAACACTGGTGAATCATCCAATATCCCATAGACTCATTTCTACTGTATTCTTGACCACTGACATTTAACAAAGAAGTTTAACCACTGATCTTTATTCAAAACATCTTTCGTTTATACTTAACTCTATTGTACTTTGACCTCTGGCCAAAATCAAGAACATGACAATCAAAACTGGTCAATGACCTTTCTATAACTTAAAGTGTCCCCACAGCATTGACAAACTTCTTAAAATTCAACTATGATGTAGGTTCATTATTATATGTTACAATATTTCCCATTTACATAATAACGAGCATAGACAGGCTTGATAAGCTGTGGATAATTTTTAGTTCTTGAGATACGAATAACTTATATTGCATCAGTCATCATTTGTGACATACATTTGTCTACAGAACTGACATGACATTATTCTTTTGTTGGAGTGGATTTTAAAATTATTAGTAAAATTAAGATAAAGTACAGTCCATGTAATGATAACAAATTAGTGTGCTACTTTCTTAACATTTCTACAAGCTACCTTCACTTGTACATTATGGTAATTTATAGGCCTATGTTATACAAATGGAAATACCTCACTAGTTGTACAATGGCTAACATAAAAATATACTTTCTTGTACAATTCCATGACCGATAGATGATAACTAGATACATGATACTAGACTTCACTGAAACTGGTAATCTATTAACAGAAAAAAGGACTTATTTACTGTTAGCTGAAAGAAGAACACACTAACCATACCCACAGTAACCTTCAAAGTGTACAACAACTATATCCACGGTAACCTTTAAAGTGTACAACAACTATATCCACAGTAACCTTCAAAGTGTACAACAACCATACCCACTGTAACCTTTAATGTGTACAACAACCATATACACAGTAACCTTAAAGTGTACAACAACCATACCCACAGTATCCTTTAAAGTGTACAACAAACATAACCACAGTAACCTTTACAGTGTACAACAACCATACCCACTGTAACCTTTAATGTGTACAACAACCATATACACAGTAACCTTTAAAGTGTACAACAACCATATCCACAGTAACCTTTACAGTGTACAACAACCATATACACAGTAACCTTAAAGTGTACAACAACCATACCCACAGTATCCTTTAAAGTGTACAACAACCATAACCACAGTAACCTTTACAGTGTACAACAACCATACCCACTGTAACCTTTAATGTGTACAACAACCATACCCACAGTAACCTTTAAAGTGTACAACAACTATATCCACAGTAACCTTTAAAGTGTACAACAACCATATCCACAGTAACCTTTACAGTGTACAACAACCATACCCACAGTAACCTTTAAAGTGTACAACAACCATATCCACAGTAACTTTTACAGTGTACATCAACCTTGAACCTAGGCCCCCAGCAGATCTACCAGGACTTTAAACTCACCCAGATAGTCCTTCAACTTGTTCATTACAACATGCACATGTATAACAGTCTTTTTATCCTCCAAAACTGTTTTCTTTGCTTGGTTTTGTGTACTTAAATTGTTTAAGGTTGATTTACAAAACAAACAAATATATATTAAATGTGACTAACTGACATAACAAAAACAATATTCAAACCCTAGCTAAAGTATCACATACACAGGACAACTTAGACAAAACATATGTGTTTAAATAGAATTGCATAATTTGATCCATTTCTGATGCAATTAAAACATCTTTACCAAGCTCAAATATATATATGTAAGTATCGTGTATATAAGTAGTTTGATCTATTTATTTGTTACACATGCAAGTATTATGTGTATAAGTAATTTGATATATTTGTTACACATGCAAATACTGTATGGATAAGTAGTTTGATATGTTTGTTACACATGCAAGTGCTGTATTGATAAGTAGTTTGATACGTTGTTACACATGCAAGTGCTGTATGGATAAGTAGTTTGATATGTTTGTTACACATGCAAGTATCATGTAGATAAGTAGTTTGACACATCTGTTACACATGCAAGTATCATGTAGATAAGTAGTTTGATATGTTTGTTATACATGCAAGTGCTGTATAGATAAGAAGTTTCATATGTTTGTTACACATGCAAGTATCATGTAGATAAGTAGTTTGACACGTTTGTTACACATGCAAGTATCATGTAGATAAGTAGTTTGATATGTTTGTTATACACGTATCTTATAAATGATTGTATGGATGTGGTTATTTGTCACTGCATTTCTTACAACAAGTTTAAGTTCTAATGTAAATAGATAAAGTCATCTTTCTAAGTATACAACTAAGAAAACCACATATGTGTGTGTGAGGACTAACATTCTATGTAAGAAACTTTTAAACTTTTTTCTCCCACCTTAAATTATGGAATAGAAAAACCTATCATCGAGCCACATATCTTTATCACTTTTGTTTTACACAAAGATACTTGTTTAGAAAGTATTCAACAAGTTACTCTGTCTTTTTATCTGTATATTTTAAGAACATAAATTATACATAAATGTACCATCAAAGCAGTACCAATTATTTCATGTAATTTTGTGCAACTATTTATTTTGTAGTTTGTATTAAAAATAATAATTTAATTACCAGAGAGTAATTTAAAAATCATTATTTTAAACTTACTTTCATATGCTAGTTACATGATTTACATTCACTAAGGTTTACAAGTGATAGTAAATGTCATAAAACTTTTAAATGAATGGAAACATGAAAAGATAATACCCCATGGTCTCCTTATGATCTACCCTTAAATAAATTCCAAGATATTAATAATAATATTTACAAACAGCAGAAAAAGTAGCACACTCTTTGAACAAAACTTAGTAAAGTTTGTATGAAATATATTCATTGCATGAAAATGTTTTTTTGTTTTTTCGTTTTCCACCAAATTGTAAAATCCAGTCTTAAAAAAAAAAAAGTCAAACCTCATAGGTTTTCAGTCACACAGGTTATATACAAGTAATATAAAATGGATACTGATATCTCTATTTTATTTATCTATTTTTGTCTCTTCAAGAGTCCTAAGCTTGTGTTAAAAAAAAAGAAACCTAAAAATTTTAAAAACTGTGTGTTTTGGGTATCACCCAAAACAAAAAGGAAGGGGGGTAGAGAGTAGGAGATAATTTATTATCTAAATTATTAATTGTTTCACAAGTATTAACTATTCACTACTTACTACTCCTTCCTTTATACTTAGGAGACCTTACTACATATACAAAACTGATTCAATTACTTTTGAATAGCCTAACTTTATGTGTTACTATTAATAGTATTACTTAACCTATTCTTCAGGCTAATGCCCTACGAAACAGAACGCTATAAAAAACAAAGGTTAGACTTTCAATGTCAGAAAAGAAAATCATCTCATAAGAAAAATCTGAGTAAACATAATGTAGCACAATTTTTCCTTTCTTTAATATAAAAATGCTCACTTAGTTAAAAAATAGTAACTGACTAGCTCAGTTTTGTGTAAATTACAATTATTTTCCTCTTACAGTTACAACTCTGTCTCCAAAACATCAACATAAGCCTTACCTTTTCATAAATAAATTTGCTGCAGTAACTGATACCAAAGTTGTCTGCCCAATGGAAGTAGAATCCTATTTGAGCTTTTGAAACCATCCTCTTCATTAACTTTTAGGTGTTGTTGTAATTAGTTTTAGCGATCTTACTGCAACTCTAGCTCTAACAAACTCTAAACCTGGACTGCTTTCTAAACAATCAAAGTGGTTTAAAAAATACTGTTTGATACTGTAATAAACTATATGCAGCGTGAAACTGAAAGCACAAATTATTTACTTATATATACTCAGCCTAGCCTTAACCTAGGCTCTTATCTCCTCTTTTAGTTAAAAAAAAAGTATTGTATCCTATAAAAATTTTACTTGCTAAATTTGGGGAAATTTATCAGTTTTAAAAAACCACGCTTGAAACACAGTGACCAATACAATGCTCTAACTTCTAAGTTCTATGCTTAAGCTCTCTCAACAGCCCGTAACTTTCTGTTTGTTTACAAACACCTCTGGTTTAGCATGGGAATTTAACAACAAGAACCAAAACACTTTCTTATTCTCCAATCAGAATGCGCTATTTTTCCGGGCAAAATTGACGTCATAGCTACTTGGCGAATGAATAACAGAGAGCAAAGTACGAGTATCACAAGGCATCGTGTGGTGACGAGCAGAAGGTGACCCTTTGGTATATATCTCAAAATGCGTATAGCCAACACGTGACTTATATCTGTTTATTCTGGAATATGCTATAAATATCTATTAAAGTACGAAATAGAAACATATTTATAACGATTTGGGTAGTATAGAATAATAAACCAAAAAGTATACTGATGGTTTGATCTTAAAAGTTTAAATAAAATTTTCTATTATAAGTTGGTAATTACGTATATACACATATAGCATTTCTAGTGAAAAATACACAATACCCTTTATATTAGCTATATGGGCATGTCCTACAAAGTTTTCTGAGAGGAAATTTGCCCATACTCAGAGCTTGGGTGATACCTATACCAGATTGTGAAATTCCCTTGAGGACACACGTGGTTGCTATAGCAGTTCAGCTTCAAGTGCCCTTTAAGAAGTGTTAAAGTTTGTTTAATAATAAATCCTTTAACAATTCTTCGTTTTACGAGATATTTCGATTTTCTTTATCATTTTCGCTGATTTCCAATTCATAGAGTTCTCAAAGTCTCTTATATGGAGAAATATTACATTAACAGTTGTCGCCTCCCAGTAGCAGAACAATAATCTGAAGGCTTGTAAAGTTAAAAACCGAGTAACCCAGTATGTAGTTTGTGCTTTATCAATGAACAAACAGTTGTTATGGAATCAACGTCTTTTTCAAACAGGAGAAGCATGTGTTGCGTCAGCGAGATCACGTGACTAGTATCACGCCACTTCTTTCTCGAACCTTCGTGAATTGTCGGGAGATTACTAGATTGGGGGGGGGGGTAGTCTGGTATATATAAGATGGTCACAACGTGACGAAACAGTGTAGTAGTGAGTAATTGAACTGCAGTCAGAGAGTATGTAATTGAACTCGAGCACGTGAGACATTCGTTGAGAATTATAGCCCGACTGTTGAAATTAAGTGTATCGTAAAGTTGTATTCGGAAAGAATAAACCAGTTTTATTTAAGAAAGGACTTGTGTCGCTAAAGTTTCGTAGGAACGAAGTTGCGGAAAATTAACTAACGAACGGAGACGTAACAAATTGGTGTCAGAGAAAAAAAAATGGAAACGAGAAGCGGCAAATCAAACTACAGCATAGCAGACTTGATGGCAGCAACACAAGAGCACCAAAAGAGACAAGAAGAACGAGAAAAGAAACAAGAAGAGGAGAGATTACAACAGTTGTTGGAGGAAAAAGAAAAGAAAC